AATATTAGGCGACGTTCCGCCCTTATCTCCCTCTCAATTTCAAAGTCGTCCGAGTCACCACTCTACAACCGGGTTAGGGTTGTATTGGAGGAGATACGATGACCTTACTAAAATTAAAGAAGCTGAAAATGAAACTGACTTGACATTCAGGGTTGTAAATATGATCTTCTTCGTCAGAATAATGTCTCTTGCGGTTTTCGTAACGACCGTATTCATCATTTAAGCGTCTTCCTTGCTTTTCATAGTGATCGTAATCTCCTTCGTCAGAAGTTTCACTATAGGTTACCTTAAATTAACAATCAACCAGAATTAGAATTTGTAGATATTTTTATATCATTTATACAATGAACCAACCAAACCCCTCTGCTTCTTTACTCGCTTAGGTCCACTATCAACTGCTAGTTTAGGTGCTTCTGTGTATGACTCCGACTGTCTAACAGGGTCAGCAGGAGGTAAGCCGTAGTAGTTGGAAAGAGCCATCTAAAACTAAGAGTATAGGCTTAGGTTGTGATACTTAAGTTTATACAATCTCTTACAGTTCCAGCTGCACTCTTTGAATGTACTGTGACAGTACTCGCATTTTCTACTCCGATAACGTTACCGTATCCATCATAACGGACTCGTTCACCAGCCCATTCGGCCAGAGGTGGGTGGATGCATCGTCCACTTCGAGATCTTCGCACTGCATGAATATTTATAACCAATCTGGTCTCTCTCATAGTCATCTAAAACGTTTTGAAAAAAGTCTCGGAACCTGAGGCAGAAGAAGACTGAGCAAACTGTTGAAGGGCTACGATAGACACGTTGCTGCTTTTAGCGTCCGACTGTCGGCGATCTGGAGAAATCCGACCTAAAGACAAGTTCGAGTAAAATCTTTTTCTAAAATGAGAACTTCTCATAATTATGGTAGCGGTCATGAAAAAAAAATAAGAGAAAGTACTAATAAAAACAGTTCAAGCAAACACAAAACAAAGTGTAAAAATTGACAAGTGCAATATTTTGCAAAAAGGTGAAGAAATTTAAGAAAAAACCTTGTTGAGATCTCTTCTCACATAATTCGATATCATTTTTCAATGAATTTCTTCTGTCTGAGT